ATCTGATCTGAGTCAATGAATATTGAGTATCTGCCGATGCCGAGTCCCGATCCTATACTTGTATTTCCTAGTGTATGGTGCTCACTTATTAAACCAAGTTAAGTTATTAATCCAATCAAACGTATACAGAATTATGCAGAGAGTATATATACTGTATATATCCATTAGAATTTTCACCAACAAATAACAAATGGTTTTAAGTCAGTTGTTTCTATCTTTTGCTGTAGTGTGTCAGTAGGAAATATCAGTTTACATTTCCAGACATTACTTTTGTCATTAATTGTAGGTTACTAATCCAGTGAGATTTTTGTATGCCCAAGTAGTCTGACAATAGCCAGTGCTGCACACAGAGATCTGATCGCACCATCATCCAGTCTGTCTGAGATTACATGAAGAAACTGAGACAGACTAAATCCAGAAGAACTGTGGCAACGTCTACAAAACACTTGAAGAACAACTGGCTGTTGTCAGACTCCTTGTGCATACAAAAATCTCACTGGATTATTACAATTAATGGCAAAAAGAATGTCTGGAAATGTAATCTGATATTTCCTACTGACACACTACAGCAAAAGATAGAAATAACTGACTTAAAAGCAGTATTTGTTGGTGAAAATACTACTGTATAAAGGCATTGGTAGACTGTAAACAGACTGTGTGGTCACAATTATGAATATGGGACTGGTGATATAAAATTCTCCTGTTTTAAATCTAAAATAAGCAGAATCATTGCAACATAAAGGGAAAAAAGTGGAGATATGGTTAGAAAGCATGAAGCTTGCGGTGTCAGAATGCCAATCTGTCATAAGCACATTTGAGCTTCTGCTTTTCGGTGGTTGGCAAACACACTTAGGGATGGGCGTATCAATCCTGAAGTATCGATATATCAATACTGATGCGAGTATCGAAAATATCAATACTCAAATAAAAAATATCAATACTAAGGTGTTTTATTTACCAGTGATTTTGTTTAACAAAAAATATTAATTAATGCATACAATATGCATTGAATTGGACGAATAACCTATGTTAGTGAATAATAATTGTGTAGGATAGAACTATTTTCCTGCTCATCTAAACGCATGCAAATGTTGCAAGACAAAACCAATCAATCACAAAGAGTGTTCACTCCCAAAAATATCATAAGAAAACATTGACGCTTTTGGGAACGGCAGCCCAGAACGATGCTTATCAGAGGACAGAAAAAAACATGTTTGAGTTATTTCACAATAAATAAACTGAAATTGTAGCCTACATAGTTTGTGCAATTACATTCATTTAAATGGAACATTAAAAGTTCATATTGGTCATGTTCTATTCTGTAATGTTAGTATAAATCATACACTGTCAGAATAAAAACATTTTATGCGTGCAACAGCCTGTCACTGGCAGTCCCTTATGAAAATGACACATGGTTTTACTAAAGTGACCGTAGTTCAACTATAGTATTTGTAGATTTCCATGGTTACCACTACAGTAAACATATTTTAACCACATGTAAACAAAAGTATAACCTTGCAATTAAGGCGTATTGAATGTTAAAATGCGTTTCAAATATAAAGTTATGTGGATATCATTACCCATTTTACTCTTAATAATTAAGAAATTTCATAATTAAAAAATTCAGTTTAGAAGTATCGTATCGGTATCGACAATACTGGCCTTTAAATGTATCGGTATCGTATTTATGAATATGGGACTGGTGATATAAAATTCTCCTGTTTTAAATCTAAAATAAGCAGAATCATTGCAACATAAAGGGAAAAAAGTGGAGATATGGTTAGAAAGCATGAAGCTTGCGGTGTCAGAATGCCAATCTGTCATAAGCACATTTGAGCTTCTGCTTTTCGGTGGTTGGCAAACACACTTAGGGATGGGCGTATCAATCCTGAAGTATCGATATATCAATACTGATGCGAGTATCGAAAATATCAATACTCAAATAAAAAATATCAATACTAAGGTGTTTTATTTACCAGTGATTTTGTTTAACAAAAAATATTAATTAATGCATACAATATGCATTGAATTGGACGAATAACCTATGTTAGTGAATAATAATTGTGTAGGATAGAACTATTTTCCTGCTCATCTAAACGCATGCAAATGTTGCAAGACAAAACCAATCAATCACAAAGAGTGTTCACTCCCAAAAATATCATAAGAAAACATTGACGCTTTTGGGAACGGCAGCCCAGAACGATGCTTATCAGAGGACAGAAAAAAACATGTTTGAGTTATTTCACAATAAATAAACTGAAATTGTAGCCTACATAGTTTGTGCAATTACATTCATTTAAATGGAACATTAAAAGTTCATATTGGTCATGTTCTATTCTGTAATGTTAGTATAAATCATACACTGTCAGAATAAAAACATTTTATGCGTGCAACAGCCTGTCACTGGCAGTCCCTTATGAAAATGAACCATGGTTTTACTAAAGTGACCGTAGTTCAACTATAGTATTTGTAGATTTCCATGGTTACCACTACAGTAAACATATTTTAACCACATGTAAACAAAAGTATAACCTTGCAATTAAGGCGTATTGAATGTTAAAATGCGTTTCAAATATAAAGTTATGTGGATATCATTACCCATTTTACTCTTAATAATTTAAGAAATTTCATAATTAAAAAATTCAGTTTAGAAGTATCGTATCGGTATCGACAATACAGGCCTTTAAATGTATCGGTATCGTATCAAAATCAAATGAAGTGGTATCGCCCATCCCTACCTAAAGGTGCATACTGCCACCTACTGCACGACACCGGCATGACAGCTGACATAAAATAAGGATCGGCACAGGATAGCCGTTACTGATCAGCTAAAAAAACGCTCAATTGGCCCAGATCCTGATCCTTGAGATCAGGTTGGGACATCCCTACCCCTGACCTTTTCCTCTTTTGTATTTTCTCTGCCATCTCTCTCTATATACAGTCGTTCTGCTACTGTCCGTCTTGCGCACTGAGCTCTGTGTCCTCCCCCATCATGAGTGTATACGCCCCTTCGTGCTGACTGGCTATAAGTGTGTTTTGGTGTTCGGTCCGATCCACTTTTTAACAGCGTTTTTCAAACATCGCTTACTGCACCTTTAATCTCATTTTTAAAGTATTTCATTCCCTCATTGTGATTCATCTTCGGTAGCTTTGATACATTTGTTCTACAGGACATCGACCCACATCAACCAACCACTTGGTTGGATGTAGTTTCGAAGGAGTTTCATTCCCTGTGTTTGATGCACTGTACACAGAGCTGGGTGGTAACTGATTACATGTAATCTGGATTACATAATCAGATTCCAAAAATAAAGTACTTATAATTAGAGTATATTACATTTCATAATACTCATGATCAGATTAGTTACTTTTGTATGGATTACATGAATATATATTATTCACACAATGACGGTAAATCTTTCATAATTCAACAATTCTCTCTAATTCTTCTTTTTTCTCTCTTTTTAATTTTCCTCTCTCTACTGTGTGTCATACCATTTAGCTTTGACTATATTCACAGTATAGAATGGTCATGTAAATGACATGTAAATAACTTTGCAAACCATGCTTCGGAATCTGGGTGAAAAAGGCTCCTCTCAAGCAATTAGAACATGTATGAAACAGATAATTATGCAGGTTACTAAACACTGGTGATGCATAGCTGTGTCTTCATCATATCCAGTGACCTTCAGTAACTGAAAGACTTTGGGAGTGTAATGTTTGACATTAAATATTTACTTGAAATATCTCTGAGGAAGTTAATATTTCAAATAATTTAACAACATTCGCATCTTTACAGTTTGATGTCGCTTAGTGGTCACACTGACATGCAGGCAAACAAATTAAATATTTCTATTTTAAGTGTTCAAGTGTGTAAGTAATTTATTTTACATTTTTATGATTTCATATATTATTAGCTTTTTATCAACTCACAAACCCACTGCAGTTTTTACATTAAGCGCAGTTTGGGAAACCCTGGTTTAATGTAATGTCTAATGCATTTTTTGATGTTGAATATATTTTCTTTCTCTTTGCTTATTCATATCAATCTCTGTATCAGCTCTGATTGTTCTTACCTCACAGAACATGGGCAGCTTTTTGGCAAAATCCACAACACGAGTGATGGCGGGGGTGATAATTTTTGTAAACTGACTGAAGGCTTCGATGTCCACTTTGCTCCCCTCTGGTGCGTTGACGATGGGCGCAGAACCGATGTCCTCGGGCTGCAACGACAGGAAGGGGAGGGGCATCGAGCTCAGTAACACAGGCACTTACAGGAAGTGGACAATCACAGAGACGAAGGTGTGACACAGCAAATCCTCATTCCCCTCTAAAGCACGAAGAAGGCCAGCGATACAGCAAGACATCATCGAAACAAGAGTGGAGCCCAGTTATTAAGAGGGAAAAGAGGAAAGATGAGAAACTTAAACTAGAGGAAGATCAGAGCAGAGAAGCGTCTTTGATATCTCCTTCTGTGTGGAGCTCATTGACAAGGGTTACCCACTGATATTTGGATGTTATTTTTATTTATTTCTGTAAAGATTTGTGCCCTTCTGACCAGAAAAATGTGATGTGAAAGACATAGCAAAAAAACAACAAAAAAAAAACAGAAAGCCAGACTGAGGGTCAAAAGAAGACTGGGAGCTGAGTACAGCACAAATCCAGCCTAATGTTCCCTGGTGACATTAATCAATTATTCAGCTTTCTTCTTCTGTGTACACCTTCATTCTGACACAGCGAGCAGAGAGCTACACAAACACGCCAAACAAATGCCTAAAGCATTCAGCAAGTTGATTTATTTAAGAAAAAAAATTTGTGACAGAAATGGAAGCAGCTGAGAATTTGAGAGAGCGTTTCTTTTGGATAAAAACATAAATAAATGTGTTTGCTCTTCTGGTTCTTACCTTGGCTTCCTTCACCCCCACTGCACTCTGGTCAGAAGTACAGAATAAATTACATGTTATTTCATTAAGTAGCATTGCTTCCTCGACCTGTTGGGCAATCAACAGGGATCGTGAAGTTTCAATGAAGAACCCGAGTCAAGTCAACTAAAAAGAACAAGTTTAAACTGGACAGGTGAGAGTGCAGACAGAAAGTGACAGTGATTTATTAAGTTTGCGTGGAGTTTCCATGGATTTCCAGGCTTTAAAATCATCTTGTATAATATTACATATGGAATAACTGCACATAGACGTTTTTTTTTTTTAACTGTGAAATGGCCTAGTAAATTTGTATTAAGTTTTAATAAAATTGTAATTTTATGTTCTACTATGCAATGTATGAAAATCAGGACTGGGAGATTTTGGCTTAATTTTTTGGTTGATTTTTTCAGCTTTTTGACAATCATTTCATGATATTTGCATGCTAACTGAAGTGGCTTAACAGACACTGGGCTTCATTCACGATTCAAAGCCATAAGGTTTGTTAAAACCATTCAATTCAATACAACAGCTTGTGTACGAATGTTTTATGAACAATTCACACACATTCATTTTGCTTGTGTTTCATGAATGAGGTCCACATTTGCTATTTATTTAAAATGTTATTCAAAAAATTAAAATCTAATTAGATGATATGGACCAATATATTACAAAGTAATGAGTAATATTTACATAGATATATTTTTGTCTTACATTAAAAATACTTCTGATCTCTGAATCAGAGTTTTGAAACCGACAGAAATGAACTGAACTTACCAAATCTAATGCATTTTTCCTAGTGAAGATTAAGTGAAGCTTAGAATTTCTGCACTTCTAGAGTCACTAAACACAATTTCAAAAATAATAAGTTCCCCTTCAAGGGAACTCAACGCTGCACCCCCTAGGGGCCACATTGGGGAATGCAGCCTGCATGGCCACGTGTGAAACAACGCCAATCTATTGGCCCACCTGGCCCATGACGTCATAGGCGGGATGCTCGGAAGTATAAAAGGGCACCTGCTGAATACGTCATCCTCTTTGCTGTCTTCAGGAGCCATCTGTTTGAAGTGCGTGTGAGAGACCAAGGCAGGTGAGCGGCAGGTGTGGAGTGTGTATGCCTCTGTTCCAGAGGTTTCTGGCACTTGAGGACGCGCACAATCTATCTGTCATCTATTTTTGGTCAGGAGCTTGTGCTCGAGGGCTCTGAACGCGCTCATTGTGAGTGTTATCCAATGAGAAGCTCCATTCGCGTTTCTCCCTCTTCTCGAGAGATGAGTGACAAGCGTTTGTGTCTCGCGGTTCGGGTACCGCTGTCAAGGCGCTGCCAAGGCACGACAAATACTCGGATCGTGGGATTAGCGGGGTTGAGATGCCCCTTTTTCTGGTTATCGGATCCTGCGGATAGCGCTCGAGTCGAGCAGCACCTTAGGGAATGTGTGCCTCCGTGTTTGGATTCTAACACTCGAGGGCATGTTCTGCTTTCGCGTTTGTCTCGGTGAAGAGCACGAGCGTTCAGTTACGCACTCATTGTGATGAGTCACGATGTCTAGGCTCTGCTCCCGTTTGTTCCTATTCCCGAGGGATATGGAACAGAGCATTTGTGTCTCGCGGCCCGGTTCCGCCGTTGCCACTGCACAGTTATCTCAACTCGCGGTCATTGCTTTGATCTGTGGCATCCACACAACCTCTCTATACGGTTGTCAGATGCCACGGATATTGTTGGGTTGTTATGACGAGTCTTTTCAGCCCTGATTTTGCGAAATCGTGGGCGGAGCTATATTCAGCTCGGCCGTGCCTCTCTAATATGCATGTTAATGTGTGTGGAGAGCCTTGCTGGGTGTGAATATATTTAAATATCCTGTGGAGAGAGGCTTGGGAGTTTCCTCTCCCAGAGTTTTCAGCACCTAGAGTGGTTATGGGGAATATATTTTTGCTCTGGAATATGGCGGTCTGAGGGCAGCTATATTCTAGCCTAGATTTTAATAACTAGGTTGGGTTCCCCTTGGCACAAATTCTCGAGTAAGTGCTGAAGTCTTTGTTTAGGAATCTGCTATTTGAGGATAGCTGTGTTCCAGCGTGGAGACCGCTTCCCTTTTAGGGTTTTTAGATTGTGGTCTCTGTGAGCCCCTTGCCTGGACTGTGCAGTCTCTCCTTCGGGGTTTTAAATAGATGGCCCACTTCTGTGGCCTGGGCAATCTTCAGCCTTATCTGAGAGAACTGCTATTCGAGGATAGCTGTGTCCAGCCCTCTAGTGCTATGGCTACTGCTTACATCAGGCTTGATCTCAGACTATGATGTTTGTGTTCGCACTTTAGCGAATCATTTACTGATGATCTGGATCTCCCTCTTGTGAGAGCTTGGTCAATAGCTCGGTGCTTTGCTAGCCTACTGTGGGACTGACACGGATTGCGGACCTCCTTAATATAGCTTTCTGAGGGTGGTTTAATTTCAGCCAATATTTTTGGCAGGACACGCTTATTTGAATACAGCTATCTGTGGCTAGCTGTGTTCTACAGCAATTGCAGTGAGCCCTCTCATGGAGTGGGCCCCCTTTTTCCTAGAGCCTCGCTATCTGAGGATAGTTATGTGCTAGCTCAGTGATCTCTCCCCTGCTTAGGGTTTTAAGTAGCGGTCTCTTGAGCCCTTACCTAGACAGTGCTGTCTCCCCTCTTTGGGTCATAAGTTGACAGCCCACATTTTGTGGTCTGGGTAGTTTCAGTCAGTCCCCCTTCTGGTAGCCCTTCCAAGGTACATAGCTATCTGAGGATGCCGGTGTGCTTGCTCCCCTTTTTAGGGTCTTTAAGTAGCGGTCTCTTTGAGCCCTTGCCTAGACAGTGCTATCTCCCATGCTAGGGTAGTAAGTAGATAGCCCACTCTATGTGGTCTGGGCAGCTCTGTAGGAAGGCTATCTAGGCTCTGACGTGGATTGGGGATCTCCTTAGTATAGCCATCTGAGGGTGGTTATATTCCAGGTGTTGGTAAGGCGGGTTGGGCTTACCTGAATACAGCTATCTGAGGCTAGCTGTGTTCCGTTGCGGTTGAGGTGAGCCCTCTTATGGAGTGGTCCCTTTTCCTACAGCCTAGCTATCTAAGGATAGCTATGTGCTAACTCAGTAATTGCTCCCCTTCTTAGGGTTTTTAAGTAGCGGTCTCCTTGAGCCCTTACCTAGACAGTACTGTCTCCCCTGCTAGGGTTGCAAGTAGACAGCCCACTATTTGTGGTCTGGGTAGTTTCAGTCAGTCCCCTTTCTGGTAGCCCTTCCTAGGTGCATAGCTATCTGAGGATATCTGTGTGCTAGCTCAGTGACTGCTCCCCTTTTTAGGGTTTTTAAGTAGCGGTCTCTTTGAGCCCTTGCCTAGACAGTTCTATCTCCCCTGCTAGGGTAGTAAGTAGATAGCTCACTCTCTGTGGTCTGGGCAGCTCCGTAGGAAGGCTATCTTGGCTATGCTATTCTGGTCCACAAGCCTTCATAAGACCTTAGGGACATAGCTATCTGAGGATAGCTGTGTTCTAGCTCAGCAGCTACTCTCTTTACCTGGGATTTAAGTAGCATCTTTTGAAAAAGCTTTCTAGTTCACCTCTTCAGTGGTCTTGTGTATCCAGGCTAGTTCTGCTCACATAGCATAGCTAGCTGAGGATAGCTGTGCTCTTATTAACTTGAATGGGATGTTCCCCTTGATCTATTTGGGTTCCCCCGTTTCTGCCAAGTTGTGTGAGCGGCCCGTGGCGTCAGTGGCATGGTCCCTTTCTGAGGAATGGCCTTGTTTGTCTGTCGCTTCCTTGGTGCTCTCCCACCAGGTGGACAGGCACGCGCCTGTGTTTGGATTTCGTTCCCCAATTTGCCCCCTAGGGGCGCTGCATTGCGTTCCCTAGAAGGGAAATGTCTTGGGTTACGCATGTAACCATGGTTCCCCGAGGGGGAACGAGACGCTGCGCCCCCTTGCCATGTCTTCAGCCTGCCTGTCTACGTCTCCTTCAGACAGCTAATTGGATGACGTATTCAGCACGTGCTCTTTTATACTTCCGGGCATCCCGCACGTCGTGGGCCAATAGATTGGCATTGTTTCACACATGCTTCAGACACCGGTCATGCAGGCTGCATTCCCCAATGTGCCCCCTAGGGGGAGCAGCGTCTCGTTCCCTCTCGGGGAATCCATGGTTACATGCGTAACCCGAGACGTTATGTTGTTGTGTCTGACCACTCAAACAATTCCATTTGGTTTCACTTGTGGCAAAGAAAATACACACTTCACAGTTAAATCAGAAATGCTATTAAAACATCTTTATCTTAATGCTGTAACTTGCAGAACTGTCATATTATTAGAATGACATACTGAAGCAAATGTAATGGCCAAAAAAAATAAATTGACTGTGATGAAACACAATTGCAAACATTTAAAGAAGGCAACTAAACATCTCATGGAAACCCACAGCGGAGTTAAGAGAGAGCAGAACGTCAATCTGTAGAGGAGAGTTAGATTCAAGAGAACAGAAGAATTGTGAAACAATCAGGAACTTGGTTAGAGAAAGACAGAGAGAAGAAGATCAGAAAAGAAACAAACATGAGAAAACAGTTTGGTTTAGGAAACGGAGCTTCAGAATAGAAGGACAAAGGTGTCCTATTAAAGTTAGTGCTGCTGCCTTTGTGGTAGAGTCTCCAGCGTCCATCTAACACTCCCCACTCTACAAGGAGATACAAAAACATGGACATATTAACATTGGGAACAGCGGTGAGGAAGGGCTTGGGAATTGTGCAGGAAGGGGAATCTAGGGTTGTGAAAAAAAACCCCCAAAAACAAACAGAATCCCATCCAAAATAAAGAAACGTCCTAAAACACAAGAAATATCGCTGCTATGCGCTCGTCAGGGAAAAGACCTCTCACCAGGAATTTGCGCTTCTGTTTCCAATGGTTGCCTTGGGCGTTTGTGGCCATATGGGCCTCAGTGACGACCCGGATGAGCTCCCACTCCTCCTGCGTGGGCTCGGGTCGCTCCCACACCGTCTTCTGCCGCTCCTCGTGCTGCCGCCGCTGGCGGTTCTCCTCGATAAGCTTCCGCTTGGCCAGACGCTTACTGTCATTCAACACCACTGGAGGAACAACAACATGTTTGCACGAGCTACGCACAACACGGCTGGGACAGGGGCTCAAGGCCACTGAAGTGTTTTACTCACAGTCTGTTGCCATGCCAACAGCGATGCATTTCTTGAAGCGACATTCTTGGCACTGGTTGCGGGTGACTTTGTCTATGACGCACTTGCCCTCGTACTTGCACGCATATGTCGGGTTCAAGTTCTTCTGAATTGTGCGTCGAAAAAAACCCTTGAAAACAAAAATTTCATTTTTAATTGCCAAGCATGAACCTTCCTAGAAATATCATAATGAAGTCGTTTAAACAGAGTATATGTGGTACATGCTATTAATGTAATAAATTAATAGTGTAATTAATTAATGCACTTTTTTTTAAGTATGTTAAAATAGGGTCAAATGTGTTGTGTTTTAGGGTTTAGGGAATATCTGTAAATTTACCATTGCATTTTTCTACAGATTTTTTCTTACAGTGTGCTTTTATAAGAGAAGAGAACAGCTTAATTCAAACACTCACTTTGCAGCCCTCACAGGTAATGCAGCGGTAATGATATCCAGTTGCTTTGTCCCCACACACAACACACAGCTCATCCTTGTCCAGATAACTTGGTATGTACCCTATAAGAAGTTACAGGTACAGTCATAAACACATTATATTAAAATAAGCAAATTTAACCTGAAAATATCTGCATGAAAATAGATAAAATTGCCCTTTGTGCAAACAAAGAAAAGTATAAGAGAAAATAAAGCAATGTGAGAGATGAGAAGTAAAAGATACTAGAGGAGAAGAGGTAATTTTATCAGAATGCTTTTATATTGAGACAGAAATGCAGGGAAATACAAGTTTTAAGGCACACATATTTGTAGGCAGTTTGCAGAAGCTCAGGAATCAATATGATCAATGAGTCTTTCGTCAGAGGGAGGAGATGAGCTCAAACCTTCTGTTCCTCTGTCTGTGTCCTTACAAATCAATACAACACACAATACCCCAAACCTCCATCCTACACTGAAGATCAATACACTACACAATGTAGCTCCACGAATATCTGCAACAGGTCTTTGAAAGAGGGATACTGAAGAATACAGTCTCTTCAAGTTCAGTCCAGAAGACTAATTCAGCAGCTTTACTATATTACACTGTAATAAAAGCTTTTCCAATACTTGCTAACAGTGTCAGGGGTAATGTATTACAAGTAACGAGAGTTACGGAATCAGTTTACTATTTTCAAGTAACTAGTAAAGTATCGCATTACTTTTTAATTTACAAGAAAATATCAAGTTACTTTATCAAATAAGTAATGTCAGTTACTTTATTTTCTCATGTATTGACTGACAGCTCTCCTGTCCTCATGTTGAGAGAAATCTGGAGTGAGTGCAGAGGTGTTGTGTGTGAACATGATCTAACTGTAGATCTAGACTAAATGTGAACATGCATTTACTCATCTCACTCACACAAAAACAGATTCAGTATTCCTCAAAATGAATAAAACAGTGAAATGCAAACGCAGAATATGACACAAACCTGCAATAATTAAATATGTCAAATAACAATGTCAAATATCCTTTATGTATTTAATCCCATTTTATTAACCAGTGTCTTCTCTGCTGACCTTCAATGATCCAATTCAACCATACTAATAAGCAGAAATGACTTTAGATTAACTTATTTTTTAGTGTTTCTTCTCGTGTGTCATATTCTTCATGCAATGCAGAATTCCTGAGGCTTATTCATTTCCCTTTTGGTGTGAAAGGGCTTTTACAATTTGCAAAAATATAACTTTTTTATATTAAAAACAAACTAGCAAGCCCTGACCAGATGAGAAAAAGTAACGCAAAAAGTAACGTATCAAATTACTTTTCATAAAAAGTAACTAAGTAACACATTCTGTTTCTTTTTTTTTATGGAGTAACACAATACTGTAATGCATTACTTTTAAAAGTAACTTTCCCCATCACTGCATGCTAACTAACATTTCTGAGTGGCACAAATGAAGGATAGAACAGAGAACACAGATATAAAATGGCGGCAACATCTATTCAGACTCTTAAACCACACTTAAAAATTGCTGAATATTATTACATTAGAATGAAGTTATCAAAGCAAGTGTCAAACCAAGTTGTTCTGTTTCAAATAAAATCATAGTGTGTTCAACAATGTTACTGGAACATGATAAAGCAATAAGCCCTGTGAAGCCGTGGTTTACAGTGAATTTATAACCGCTAAGGGGCGTTGTTAGGTACAACGCGAAGTGGAGTTAGCTGTTATAAATTGACTGTAAACCACGGCTTCACGGGGCTTATTGCTTTTATAAAATGGTTATTCCATATACGTAGTAAGGTTTCACAGAATAAAACAGAGCAAATAAAGAGGATGATATTAATAAAAACGGTATTCTTCCACCAAACAATGTAGTTCCTCAGAAACCGTTGTGGTTCCAACAAAGTGGTTGCAGCCCAACACACAGAAGTAAACAAAGGTGTATGTTTGTAGAGTAATTTACAACAGCTTCGAACGTGGCTCAGCCAATCAGAATCAAGCACCGGAACTCTCCGTTGAGAGTCCAAAATTGTCTCAGACAAGTGAAGTTAGTTGAGCTGAGAAAATCTCCTGCAGCTTTTGTCTTCGCTATCGACTGCAATCCCACATTTGTGAAGAATCCAGATTCTATTTAGAACTGCTGTACATCTCCTCAATCCTCAAACATCAGACGATAAAACACTACTTTTATAGTTACAAATCAAAATATTACTTAATCAGATCTCAACTGAGCACATCTGAAGTTTAAAACAGATTGCTGAGTACATTACTTTTGGCCTGAGATATTACACTGTTACACTGGCAAACAGGCAGCCACCTAAAAGCATGCCAATTATAAGCTTAAGAACAGCACAAGAAAAGACACAACTCCGGTTCACAACAGCACCTCTATGCTTCTTCTAGAGTTTGCGATACCTTTCTTGTGTGGCCCCTGCATCCACTGCATCTGAGAGAAATCCGGCCTGCCGTCAGAGTAGTAGTCTGGTTGGTGATAGTGACTGAGAGGCACGTCCATGGAGCACAACTCGCTCTTGAACACAGGGTTGCCCCCAGTAAACGGGCACCCATAGGGCTGGTTGTGAGGCCAGGCCTGCTCCATGCTGGGAGGATGGTGGTGTAATGGCTGCGGTTCACAGCGAGCGAAACCGGGCCCTTCGCCACCGTACATGCAGTACTCGCCTCCGGGGGGCACCGCATATCCCCCACTCACACCGTGGCCTATGTCATACATGTCTGACATGCAGTAATTCATTACGAAAAAAGGCACAACCACACACAAAAAAATCTCAAGTTAATGCAACAAAAATTTCTGAGCTAAAGGAACAGAATGCGATCGGTGGTCGCATTGACGTGCGAGCTGACGAAGTCATGAAGCAAACTGCGTGAAAATTGTCTGGAGGACACCAGCACTTATATATGGAGAATCCACCCGCCCCACTCGCCCCTCGCCCCGCCAAATTGAGTGGAAGATTTCTGAGCACGCTCTCTTAATCTGACACCGGACAAATCCAAGAAGTTGAACAGCCGGGGCGACACATCCTCGGACGGAAGGCCGTCATACATGTGTATGACACACCTTCAAACAGATCAGATCATGCTTATATCAACATCAGACCAAGCCTAGCTAAAATGGCAAGATTATAATCACAATCCTAAAAGCTGAAGTTTATTGATTTCAAATATGAGGCGCTTCAAGCGCTGATCTTAAGCTCATGACACATGTGAGGGCTGCAGCCATGGACAGCATTTACTGATGCGTAACTTCATGTAATGAATAAAATGTGGACCTCTCCTGCCATCAGTCCAGATATTGTCCTTAAGAAAAACACACTTTAATACATGCACACTCAGATGCCACTTTGAATACAGAACTGACTGATCAGTTCAAGAAATATTACATCAGATGAAATAATTAGGTCTTTTCAAACATGAAATACAATTTTAGTTTACATTTTAATCCAAAAGAAGAGAGTATTTTAATTTTTAATTTGTAAGAATAACATTAAACATAAATGTAACCTTTCAACTCAATTTGTTGACCGTTTTGCACTTACAATGGAAACATACTAGATGAAAATTCAACATTCTGTTGTAATCTTAACTGTAATACCAAATGTAACTTCTGTATATGCTCAAATAAATACAAGTTACTTTGAAATGGAGTGTGAAATCCATTAAACAATTATTTTATCCAGTCTACAATACAATTAATTTTTCTCACTTTCCCCTGCTTTAATCACTATCTAGATACTGTAGTATGAGTACGAATGCAGAAGTCACTAGAAAGCTTCAGGAATATGCAATAAAACAGTGCCTGAGATCGAACAAACTCTGAGGTGGAAACTGGGTTATGACGCCGAGAGAGTTAAGACAGCCAAAGTGAGCAGCAGGTAACAGCTGTTTTTAGCAAGGGCTCCTGAGGCAAAGCCCCTCCACAACACAGCCTGATACCAGTTTAACTTTTTGATGAGGTGACCGTCTCACATAAGCCTAATCTTCACAGGGATTTCATAAAGACTTTAACTGCCAAAAACAACATTCAGACACATTAGCACACATCTAAACAATCTGTCTCTGCTCAACAAAACACACCCTCCAAATATTAAGAAGATATGTTTTCAGTGTATGTCATTTATACTATTGCAAATAATACATCAAAATACCACAAAACTCATGTAAAAATAATTTTCAGGTTAGGAATCTTGAAATTCTTCAATGCTTTATTGATTTTCTTAATCGATTTATTTTTTTAAAAACTAACTGACCAGGTTTAAATGGTTAAAGTGCTCTAGATCAAGGTAGGTAAACTGCATTAAACATCTAGCGCTACGGATTAGACCCTGTGCCCTTTGACAGCCCTTCGCCCCTTTGGCCATTTCCACCTAATTGCATACGATCATTATCCAATTGTAAAGGAGTTCTATGCCCGGTAATTAAAAATATCCATGACTGTTGATGTTCTTGACACTGCAGATGTTACCCCACAACATCCAAACCCAATACATCAGAACAGGTTTAAAATGAACACATACAGTTACTTTGGACTGCAGTAAACTCATACTGAAGAAGTTCAGTGACAAGAAAAATTATGAACTTACCAAAAATAACACTCCTAGATTCAAGGAAGAAACGTGCTCTCACAATCTCAACTGTAGCCTCCTTAAAACCTCAAAGACCTCAAAAGTAATTGATCCATCACAGATCACTGGAGATCCTAAAGTTACCCAATAATCAAGAACTTGACACGGATATGTTTTCAGAAACACCTCCATAATCCTACCGCACACTCTCTGCGTCTCAGCACGCGGCTCGCTGGTTTATGTAGGAACTGTGTGTTCAGTTTGGCAGGTCTGTGTAATTATGCACCTACTAGCGTGTTTTCCACCAATTTATTCCCTCTGGGATCGATCACTTGAGGTCCCGGGGTTCACGGCTGGTCATGTTGAGTTTTCGGATGGTGGCCCTCACAGCACTGGGGATAGGGCCTGGGTTGACATGGCTTCCTGAGCCAGATGTCCCCAGCGTTACCTGAGCAGAGAGCTTCGCTGAGGCCACCTTAAACACACGGCCAAGGTGACCT